GATATTAAGTTACCGAAAATCTTCCTTGAATAAATAAACACAAAATAAAGTTTCAACCAAAATTTATAGTGATTGATTTATTAAACCAGGATTTAAGGAACAGAGACAATTAGCTTATCATATAGAAAGCTCCCAGTTATGTGGACAAAATGACCTTAACTTTTAACCACATTGGTGTTTCACAGAACAATTAATAAGGTCAATATTCTCATTCACATCAGTTACTCAGAGTCCTCTAATAAATGTGACCCTAGAATTTCCCTCCTTAGAGAAACGGCAGTGGGGGGAGTTGAGGGGGGAAGAGGAGTGATAGCCTTTACACAATGGAATCAAATAGACACAGTTATAACTTCCATTTCACATATCACATAATATAGTGCATTTTATCCTAAAATAACTCCTTAATAGATGTGGGGAAAAGCCATTATAGTGCACTGTACTGTAGAGTGAGAGTTTAATGAGGCAGACCTTGGTTTAATTCCAGATTTTGCCACTTTCTGTTTGTATAAACTTGGGCAAGTTGTGGGAATAATAATAGTATCTGCCATAATTGATCACTGGGATAATGGAATGAGCTTGTACCTGTAGAGTAGATGCTATGCCTGTCGCAGAGTGAATAATTATGGCATATTAGCTCTTGTAGTTGTTTCTGATATTTTCCCTCTTTGTTAGTGACTGTGGCCCACAAAGATATAGCACAAAATCAAGGTTAACTTAATACAGGATTTAATCTATTTTCTTGTATAAGCCGTCTCTCACAACATTTCTCTCTTAAATGGATAATAACGTTACCCTAATGTCTCAGTGAATTTAGAAATCAGTCCATCGTTGAATTGAAAGTTGCCACAATTTTTAATTTAATATTTCACTTTAACTTGGCTTCCTTCCAATTCTTCATTCTGTGCTGTCTGATATTTCATCCCACAGAGACTGCACAATTACTATAAATCATTGACTGTATTTTGCTGTACACAATAGTTTTGTTCATATCATTTTATTCTTCTTGAAAATGGCATTCTGCAGTGTCATGATGCCCCTTTAAATTCTTCATTTTGCCAAAGGTAGTTGAAAAGGAAGGTAATAGAAAATAACTGCTAGTGGAGTACGTGCCGCCAGACGGAAATCATAATGACTGATATTGCTCTATGTTCTCTGGGTTTGGCCAGTTCTGTAATTTTCAGAGTGAAATGCACATCCAGAGTGTGTCTTCCCTGACATAGTATGTTATCAGCCTATCTTGTAAAAATAGCATCCTCATTCTTAATGAGCTTTTAAATAACAACTTTAAAGCATCTTTTATTGTTTTAATCAAGTTTAGGATTTTTAAATAGTTCCAAGTTGACCTTATTATCTCATGCTTTATAAACACATTTATTTATGCTACTAAGTGTAAATAATATAAAGAACAGAAATGAATGTTAACTTCAATAATACAAATAAATGTCTTCCACAGGAACATTTTGACCTCAAATAACTGGGTATTTTTACCTCGCCTACCAGGGTAATCTTATATAGATAGTTACAGCTTAAATTTGGGGCACTTTGGAGAAATGTATATGGTTACAGAGCATAATAGTAATTCATGATTTATGACCAGGGAATCAGGGAAAAAGAAATATAAATGATGAGATTTTAAGGTCATATAATAGAAGATTTAAAAAATACTGTTTTGTTGAAAGTGCCAAAATGGACTATCTAAACATGTATGAATTAAAGAAATGCTTTATTTGTTTCTTTGAAAAATTTCTTCAAGCTTCCTGACTTCATAATTCTCAATCAAATGCATGAGACAGCATTTAAAAAATCACAAATGAGTTGACTTAAGGTATTATCTATGCATGGGGTGGAAAAAATTATCTCTTTCTCCTTTTCACTTCTCCATTCATCATTTCTGAGTCTTGGAATATAGTATTTCAGTATTAGTTCTTTTAGCATTTGACTTAACAATCAGTAACTCTCAGATTCCCTATTCATCCTTGGAAGTAGGGATGACTCACTCTTCTCACTGGAGACACTCACAGACATGCCCACTTTCATTACTGTTCTAGAAATTGGCCCAAAGAATATAGCAAGTAAGTAAATTCTTTATCTGTTTTCATGAATATATGAGCCCTGACAGTGGATTAAAACAAAAACTAGTTCCTATGCTGAAAATACCTAACCAAACACTGGTTACCTTAAAATATTTTGATTTCAGCCATGTTCCTTGGCTTGCAGATGAAAGAAGTATATTTATTGTCTCCCCATTGAATCTCAGTTGGCAAAGCATAGTCTCAGGTTCAGTCTGAATGGAAGGTTATGAGAAAGGTGACAGGCCTGGTCTTGGCCACAACCCGCAGCAAGAAGAAAGACAATGTTGCTTTTGAGCCTGCAGCTTTCACTAGCCAGGGATTCTTAATAGATAATTCTGATCAGTGAAGACATAAGGACATGCCCAAGCTATTGATGCAAGGTGGTAATTTTTCTTATTTGGCAGAAGATATTTCAGTGTTACTGAATCTGTTTTGCTGAAATATTCGTGGGTAATTTAAACTTATTTCAAGTGCTTTCTTTGTTTACCCAATTACTTCCGTCTAATTGGGCTCCAGCTTTCCAGCTCAGCTAAGCTTTTCTGAGATACTACACTTTTCCTAATTTATAGAACAATCTTTTATAGTCTGGGAAGGAATATCAGACTAGTTAGCTCAATTGATGTCACAGGTTTATTATGCTGCAATGTTTTCATATGGGAAGAGCCCAGGGGCTTCATGTAGGTGTGTCTGTTTCCTCAGTGTTCACCTCATAATGTTTTCGTCCTAGCAATTAACTCTCTTGGAAGCACCCACGCTTGCCTTTTCTCATTTTCCTAAGCTCCTTTTGGCCTCCTTCATTACTTGGCTTCGCTTCACATGTTCTCATTTTTAACTTGTGAGTCTCTGTAGACAAGGTTTTTGACATCCATCTTCTCATCAATCAAAATGTTATACATCCGGGAATTACTCGTAACAAAATTGGCTCAGGACCCTTGTTTTGCTACAGGAATTACATGGGTTGACCAAACTCATCATATAACCATTGTGATATGTAGTTGTTGTTGTTGTTTTCAACTAACTGCATGTCTCAGTCTTATAATATCTCAACTGAACATTTTCAGATTTCACCTCTTCTCTCCCTTTTCTTAAAAACATTCTCACTACCATCATGCTTATTGTGAAATAAATGTCAAGCCCTAGCTATAAACTCACAGCTATAAGTCACAGCTTTTTCTGTAACTAAAATAAAGAAGATGGAACAGAACCCTCTGGCCCAGGTTATCTGAATAAATTCTATAACATGCTCCTTTGGGTAGCCTATGCAATTCACAAGCATCTGCTCATGCGACTAATGTTAAATGATTTCTTATTTATTTGGGAATTATTGTTAACTTTGTGAAAGGCCAAAGGGAAGGGGGAAATTCGCAGCATTGTGGCAAATGTTACTTTATCATATATCTATATGTAGAAAATGTGGACTAGAGCATCCTATTTTGAAACAAGTTTAAAAGCATATCAAATATCTAGCAAATCACTCCAGGATCCCCACTGCTATTGAACTACTCTAATAAAATCTCATCTTTCAAACAGAAAGAAGGCCCAGAAGGTTCTTATTAGCCTCTATTATTAGCCATTGCTAATTCTTCCCTTAGCTCCAAGGATTTAAAGGGCAAAGACTGGAGCCTTGTTCCTGTGTTTCAACTGAGAGCTACTGGTGCTAGACATAAGGATACAGCTTTCTGGGCAAAGGCTCAGCTGGCCATGAGGAATCATCACTGATTAATTTAGGGAGCCCATCCTAGGCCTGTGGAAGTAGCTGCAGGATAAGGGCAGGAAGTGGTATGTATCCAGGTGATAGGGTTGCTTTAGGTTCCTAAGTTTCAGAAGATGGTGAAGGAAGCTGGGGAGGAGAACTTGAAGGCACTCCTTGCTGCATGTTTTCAGCAAGGCCTGGCACGCTACCCACTTTGAAGAATCAAACTGGGGGAGGAAGCACTTTGGACCTAAACTGTATATTCAGGGTAAGTAGAGTGAAGCAACTAGTAAGACTTTATTTGTGATGTCACTGCTCTCTTTCACAATCCTTCCCTTTAATTCACCTTTCCAGGTGCCCAAAAGGTCGCATTCCCTTCCCGGTGTAAATGCCTGCGGAAGCAGAAGATGGATGGTGTGGTGATTGAACCAGGAGTCCCAGTGTTTGGTAACAGCATCCCGTCCTGCTCACATGGCTGGAGGCCTTGCATGGTGCTTCAGGTTCTCCCTGAGAGAGGTTTCCTAAGGCGAGAGCACCTGGCCTGCTCCCCATCGCGGCTGCCAGTCATCATCTGCCTCATGAATCTCACTGATTTCCGCATGGTGATCTGAGAAACCGGGCTCTGTAGATACCTCACAGTGATGGCCCTAAGCTGGCAGACACACCTAGCTGGTGATTTTGTAGCTGATTGCTTTGAAAGAACAAAAGTGCATCGAATTCCAACACATTTATTGCAGATCGACTTGATGCGGAGTGATGAGGACTCAATGGAATGGACAACCTCATGGACAATAAAGATTCTGCTTCCCTGGAGCTTATGTTCAGGTGGAATTGGAAGTTATTTCTGCGGGAAGGCTGCTTGAGGTTCTGTGCAGGCGACGTGGAGCACCCTTTCCCCAAGGGCTATTGAGAGCTGGCCTCGCCCTCCGCGGACACAATTTGAAAGAATATAAATTGCAGAGCAGCTAAGGGGGTAGGGGGCATCACTTGAGGTGGCTTCTATTAGCGTCAATACGGCGGAGCCAGGGGTCTTAGCTGGAGCCTGAAAACTTCACGCCAAACTCTGAGACTACAACCCCCCCAACCTTCTCCTCCTGCCCGCGCCCCCCGCCCCCCCCTTCTCCGAGCAGCCGGGGTCACAGCGGGGGCGCTGTCTCAGGGGGCACCCCGGGGAGACAAGGGTGCTTGGAGGAAGGGGACTCCGCATCCGCGTCCCCTGACCCCGGATCCCTGCCATGGGCTTCGCCCTGGAGCGCTTCGCCGCAGCCGCGCGCGCGGAGCTGGAGTGCGGGCTGTGCGGCCGGCTGCTGGACGAGCCCCTGTGCACGCCGTGCGGGCACGTCTTCTGCGCCCGCTGCCTGCTGCCCTGGGCGGCGCGGCGGCGCCGGTGCCCGCTGCAGTGCCAGCCCCTGGCGCCCGGCGAGCTGTACCGGGTGCTGCCTCTGCGCAGCCTCCTCCGCCAGCTGCGCCTCCAGGGCGATCCCCGCGCCCGCGGCGGCGGCCGCTCGGTCCGGCCGCACGAGCTGGAGGCGCCCGCCGCGCGCGGGGGCTGCGTCTCGGGGCCGGGCGGCCGCGGCGGCGAGGACGTGCCCGCGCGGGGGGGCGGCGGAGCGGCGCCCGGGGCCGGCCGGGGCGGGGGCGCGCGCGGGGGGCTGCCGGGCGGCTGCTGCGGGAGCGGGAGCGGGCGGGGGCCCGGGCCACGAGTGCTCGCCTGGAGGCGGCGCGAGCAGGCGCTGCTGGCGCAGCTCGGGGCGCTGCAGGGCGAGGTGCAGCTGGCGGCCCGCAGGTACCGGGACAAGTTCGCCCAGTACATGGCTCACGTCCGCAACTTCGCCAGGGACCTGGGCGGCGGCCACGGCCCGGTAAGCGCGGAGGGCGAGGCCCCCGGGGAAGGATCGGTCGGGGTGGAAAGAGGAAGGTGCGTTCTGTAGTTCAGGACTCTCTGGAGGTGATGGATGCCCTTCCTTTCCATGCAGGAGGACCCATCCACCCGCCCCGATGTTACTATAGGATTCTTCATCTTCCCAATGTCTCAGTAGTGCAGACAGCAAGGATTGCTCCCTTTCTGTTTATACGAGGATTGGGAAGAGTTAAACAGCTTCAATTCCAACTTTTCCACGAAGAAGGAGGTTATTAGGAAAACTCATTTGCTCACCCAGAAACCTTGTTCCTCCTTTCTGACTCCTGCCCTTACCCTCTCTGCCTGTATTTTGTACCGTTGGCCCTTACCTGAGACCAGGAAGCAGGGACCTCTCCACCCCTGCCTCCCTCTCCCACTGCACCAGCACCCTGAGGCCTGCTTAAGTAACCCCCTCCATTGGCTCCGAATGACTTGGTTTCCCTGTCACACTGCCCATATCAGCCACCTTCTACTCAGTGCAGGGAACGTCAGGGATGTGGGGAACTAGAGTTAAGAGATTAAGAGATGATATTTGTTTTAGACCTGAAGAGTTCTTTGCATCACCCCCACCTTCCCTTAATAACCCTCACCTGCCCTCTTGTTTCAGTATTGGTGGTGGTGTGTGTGTGTGTGTGTGTGTGTGTGTGTGTGTGTGTGTGTGTGTGTGTGTGAGTGTGTGTGTGACTTGGGGAACCAAGTCTGGGAGCAGCTACATCCATCTGGGGTTAAAGGAACCCCTCCCCGCCCCCCGCCCCCCCCTCGCACTCCCCCCCTCTCTGCAGCGGCTGTTTCCCTTCTTTGTGGAAGCTGCTGGCCCCAACTGTGCTCTGTGCTCTTGGGCTGCCTGCTTTTAGACCGAATAAACAAGCCTCTTTGCAGCACCCCTTGTTTATAAAGCTGTTACTTCTCTTCTGGAGGACTTCTGCACAGTGTTTGACATTGTTGGCCGCTGCCATGGTGAGCAGGGGTTTAGCAGGACTTGCACTCCATTCAAGGAGCTGTTTCCATTCTTCAGCGTCCTGGTTCTGGGGAGGGGCAACCCGGGGTGCTTCCCATTTGGGACTCCCTCCAACTCAGGCCTGGACTTAAGACGCTTCTGCCCTTGCACCTAAAAAAAGAAAAAAAAAGAAATGTGAAGGGCTAAAATGTTTCTATTCTGATAAACGGAAGCACACTGCTTAATCACTGCTTAATGAAAAGACTGGATGCTACCTATTATTCTTTCTCTATCCTATTTCTATCCAGATAAATTTACAAAGTGAGAAGAGCTAGAGAGAAGCCAGAAATATGCTTTGTAGTGCCAGCTCGGGTTTCAAGGTCTTAGGGAAGCAATAGCTGGTGGAAAGGAGTAACAGCTAGAATTATATGACGGAGAAGTCCATTCAAAAAGTCAAGCTATGGCCTCAGAAGTGAGGAAAAACTGCCCATGATTTGCAGACTTAATTATCAGGCTTCTCTGTGCTCCTCAGAAATGTTTTCCCACCACCAGTAGGGGCTGCTGTGCGCGCTGCCTGGGAAAAGCTCCTGGGGAAAGGGGGTTATGAGGGTAGCAGTGGTAAAGATGCTTATGCGATTTTATCATTCTGAAGTAATTGCCCATTGCCAAACATATGATATCTTAGGATAGTTGACATCCATAGTCATAAACAAAACAAACTCCTCTAGTCTGGCACTAATTTATCTTATTTTTAAAATGGTCTTTATTAATGAACAGGTTGCAGATATAATTCCTATGTGTTTAACTCCCCTCTGGGCTTTTATTATTATTATTATTATTATTATTATTATTATTATTATCATTATCTAATCTTCAGGAGTTATGCAAAACCCAATAAGAATACTATTTAAAATTAGGATTACTGTAACCTGTCAAATCCTGTATGACACTGTAACCTGTCAAATCCTGTATGACAATAATAATCCAAATAGTAGAGTGGAAAGAAATGTATAAATAGTTCACTATTCATTCAGACTTTCCGAGGTGAAATTTTTACATAGAATAATTCTCAGATCCTTTAACAATGTATGTTACTCCTTTGGAATAGAGGGAAAGAATAAGAACACTTGCAAAGCTAAATCAGAATTCTGTTTTAAATTACAGTGAAGTCAGAATTAAACAATGAATGCATTAGAATAAAAGCTGCTTAATGTGTAAAAATGCAATGCCATTTAGTTGAAAATAGTTATTTTTCTCACATGCATGGTTGTTTCCTTCAAATACACACTTTCAAAGTGAATTTAGGAATAAATTAACCTTCCCTCAAATTCAGCCATCCTTAATTGTAAGTTTTCCCCCTTTCAAATGTTAATTTATTTACGGGGGGGGGGGGGAGAGCTTTACTCTAGAATTTATTTATTTTTATCTATATTTTTACGGAGTTTGCTATTTTATCCCCTTTCTTCCAGGGTGGAGAACATAAGCCATTCACCATTCTATTAGAACGAGAAAATGACACTTTGGGATTCAATATTATAGGAGGTCGACCAAATCAGGTAACCCACCTTGTTAATGCATAGCTCATTCTTTGCTTATAAAATAATAACTTTAGTTTTCATTTGCGGATTTTTAGTACAAAAAGCATCTGGTTTGATCTTTAAAATTATGCTTGTGATTAAATAGTTTCCTTATTGCAAATATTCCTGTACATACCTATGTATTTTTTTAGAAAAGCAAAGCAAAACAGCTAAAAACTTCCTTCTCTTTACTGCTTAAAAAGAAAAGAGTACATTTCATATTTTATCTACCTTATATGGCGCCATTGGCAAATTTCTTAAATAAACCTATTTCATAGTAATGTGTATAGGCAATTTCTATTTAATGATATTAGGCAATTGTATTGCCTGCTTGCACCTCCTATTGATTATGTTAAGTTGGTCAGTTTTCAGATGCTTACACAGACCAGGCAGTATATGCTGAATGAATGAATGAACCATTAAAATCAGTTTTGAAATAAGGGATATTGTTTTCACAGTTACATAGGAAATGCCATGTTAAAGGACAAGAGTAGGTTTGAAATATTTTTGACTCTGCAAATCAATTCTTTTATTTAATTGAATGAATAATACTTTCTACATGAATGTCAACTGTTTTCAAAATGCATGGGTTATAATCTTTACCGTATTCTGTGCTGAAGTTACAAAGTTCTATCATATCCTTTAAATACTACATCAACTTAATTTTCACTCTAACTAAAAAAAGGTGGTGAAGCTTTAAAAAAAATCATGTTCTTTAATTTTCTCAATAAACTGCTGTGAAATTTTTGCATCCTGCAATGCAGATGTTGTCCTGGGGAACTGTCTTAGAGTTGTTGGCCATATGCTCTATTTAGGTCAGGATGGCAATGGCATATTTCCTCTTTGTGTTTAGCATCTGAAAAACCTAGCAACTAATGACTGCTTTGCTTCTGTCTCTAGGACAGTCCCCATTCATTATGGAAAAAATAGACGTCTTTTCATCATATAATTTTTGTTTCATTTTCCCCTAAGGAATATTGTTATGAATGCTAGTTAGGTGTTTGACATTTGGGTGACATTGGCCATTTTTTAGAGCCTCTTAAAATTCATGCTGAGGAAGACTAATTAAGGAGAAAAATGTTATTTAACCTGCCATGAAGTGAAATGGCATTTAAAATTATATGCTGTATTATTATAAGATATTGGGCATTTTCCCTAAATAAGTTTTTCACTGTAGTTGGTTTCCTGGGACTGGCTAACATGTACTACTTGTACCATATTGGCTATATGTTTGAGGTTTACTCGATCATTAGGCTCATTACACCTGGAAATATGTAAGGATTAGCTTTGAATGGGTTCTCTTTCGCCTTAGAGTTGATCCTTTGGGATTTCACACTTCAGCAAGCTCCCAGTCTTCCCTGTGACTAGAAACAGCCAGAGCTATATTCCCAAATCTGTCACATTATGAGGCTAAATTATATTTTGAAGACTATGACCACATCTCAAAACAATTATATAGTGAGGCTGGATATGCTTTTTGTTTTCTTTAACTTACAACCTTTTTAAATTACACCCTCCCTTTAGAAATGAGATGCTCTATAAATCATACTGAGGAGCCTGTTGATATCGCCTTGTACATGCCCTTTCCCCATAGTTTCTTATGTACACTTGAAAACATGAGGTAAATAGATAATCTGGCCAGAGATGCTGGACTCATTCATTAAAGCTGACATCTTGATGAATGACTGGTGTTAAGTTAAAATTCAGTGTCAAATCCCCAGTTAAGAAATAGAGTTGCATGTTAAGAGGGGTTGGCAGTGAGACATTTACTAAATTGTCCTTGATCCAACTAAAAACTTTGTTTACATCTTTCTTACTGCTAATGGTTATATTTTTAATAGAATGATCAAGAAGAAATATCAAGAGAAGGAATTTATGTTTCAAAAATTTTGAAAAATGGACCTGCTGACAGAGCAGAAGGCTTGGAGATTCATGACAAAATCATTGAGGTAAGACAATAATAAAACACAAATATGATTCGTGGCAGAAATATTTGACATTTTAAATTTCCAAACTTATTGGTTTACCTTGGCGTGGTACTTATTAGAATGTATATTGAACTAGAGTATATTGTGCATATCTCACCTATATTAATTATTAGATATTGGGATAAAATAATAAATCTAAATGTGTTAATGAAGTTTCTAAATGTGTTAATTAATATCTCTATTTTAATAATTGTCTATCCCCAATAACTGTGGGGGTAGTTATGTGATAATTAAGGGATTCATTTGTATAACATTTCAAAAAAAGGATGATAGATATCTGCTGAAGGACATTTTAGTGAGGAAATTTACTATTTTTAAACTTGAGATTAGTATATTATGTAGAGTGTGATTTATTTATAAATGTCTTTTAGTACTCTTTAGTTAATATGGTTATCTTCTTCCTGTCTTTTTTACATAAAAAAGAAAGGAAGTACGTTTTTTTTTTTCCTATTGCAAAAACCTGATGGGAACTCTTCATTTTCTGTAGTGTATGTTGTAGCTGTATTGTGGTATTCGGGGTTGGCAAAGTAAATGCTATGAAGTTATTGAAATTTGGGCTATGATAATGGAATTTTGAGTCACACTGCCATTCACCAACCCAGTGCTTTTGGAATTTTAACTGGTTGAGATAGTATTATTTAGTGTTACTGAAAATGTCTAGGGTACTGCTGTCAATGGGATTATTCCCAATGTATTAGTAAAGGCTGAATAGAAATTTGGAAGGTGTATTTGACTCTGCCATTCTTTTGGGGAAATTCTACTTATTCTAGGTTATATACTCACTAATGTTATCTTTATGAATGCTTCTATAAACTATCTTGATGGAGACTGTTTTCCTTTATTATACTTTGAATAGAGTTTTAGATCTTCATTATTTTTCATTAAAATTTTGAATTTTGAATAATTTTACCTAGGATAGGGGGAAACAGTATAGAAGAACCAATAGTTCTCTCTTTTGGAAAAAAAAAAAAAGATCTCACAACATTTAGAAATTAACTGACTAGGCACTTTGAGGAAGAGAGAAGAGATGCTTTGGCTTCAAAACTGATCTTTGTTTGAAGAGGCCCTTGGTAACAAGATTTTCTCCTTCCAGTTTTATAGCCAAGAAAGGACAGACCTACTTTCACTGACGCTATCCAGGTTGTCTTGACAGTTTGCCTAGTGGAGACATTTATATGCTACAGTTTCTAAAGTTAGAATTGTTCTATTTCTACTTGTACTTGTGCGGTATAATTTAAAGGGCAACATAATTCAAACAAAAGCATTTGTCCTTTTTGCTTTCTGCCTTATGTCTAAAGACTTTTGGTTTTTCCAGTTAGATGGAAAAGGAAGGCATGCATTTGATACTATTGGAAGGGCTGGTGGAATTGAATACATATATTGAATTAACACACAAACTTACAGATACACACAATAGAAACATGTACTAGGGATTTAGAAAATAATTTATTCTAACTATGTAACAATGTTATGCATGTTTCATTAATGTTGCCTTTAAAAAGAGGAAGAAGAATTTGTCTTATGTTTTGGTATAGTATCAAAAATTTATTGGTTTTGTTAATGGAAAGAAGTAATTCTATAAAAACTATGGCTGATAAATGAAGTTCATCTAGACATCTATCGTAGACAATTACTAATATATATCAAAATAACCTTATTTAAATCATATAAGATAAAGATCAAAGACATCAACCTGGAAATCTAAACTATGATTTATAATCTGCTGTAGCTATAATATCACCTCAACATGCATATATTAACAGTAAATGACAAGAGGTTGAAATTTGCCTCATTGATAGGATTTATAAACATGTCTTTTATGCCAAGATATACTAATAATATGCATATTTTTGTTATAGTTCTAACATAGATTCATATGACCACATTTGCAGTTAAGAAATAAGTTAGACGATAGTATATTTCTGGAATGTTGTCAGTTAAATAGCATGAAATAGTTTGGAAGGGAGATTATTATAAATAAATCTCTCATATTTAGTTGTCCAGTGATGCCATCATCTTTTCAGAGTAAATAGATATTTGTCTGACTTTCTTTTTTATATATACATTTAAATAAGCAGCATGTTTGTTCTTGTGCATATGTGTGTGTAAAAGATCCCAATATACCAATTAAAAATATTTGATGCTTTTTAGTTCATCTACCATTGTGGGGCCAGTTAACTTTTCACATTTTTTAGCAGTGGAAGACTGATAAGAAATATATTGATTAATTTAAAATGTGCAGCGGCAGAAAAAGAGATTTTAAAATAGGGTGTTTTTTTTTTGTGGGTTTTTTTTTTTTTTTTTTGTGCGCAGTGATTTGTTTACTGAACTAATGTGAATTTCAAATGGCCATGCTGATTTAACTATTGTTCAACAAATAAATTTGTTAGCAGTATAAAGTGCACCAATAGTTCATATATTATGAAACTACTCATATGACCTACCTGCCACAGTCTGACATATGGCCAAGTGCTTTGAATTCAGTGATATATGACTGAAATTTTAAAAAAAGAAACTGTTAGACAATTTATTTTTTACTTACAGTGAATACATGCTGAAAATATTCTGGCAAGTTAATTGCTGAAAGCACACATTACAATGGGTTATGAATTGTTCTTATAAAATAAAATTTAAATCATTCAGTTGAAGGAGAAAGGAGATATGTTATTAAAAATTTGGTTCTATTGGTTAAAGAGATTTTACTAATTCTAATAAAAATATTAGATATAATAATTTTGCCAAACTTTAACAAAGGCTAACAGCTTCCAAAATAATATTTTTAATAGTCTGTATTCCAGGGAAGCTGATCAAATCAATTCAAGGATCTTAAACGTAAAACAATCACAGTCATAAGGTAAATCTATGTCATATTTTTCACATAAAACAAGGCAAATTTAGTTTTGGAGTCAGTTCCATGAGAAACCATATTTACCACTTTCTAGTGGTAACAGCGGTTCACTTAGGCCAGGAATTCACCAGAGTGTAGATCTAAATAACCGTGTCTTTTGCATGCTGTTTCCACCCCTTCCCAACTCAAAGGACCCACTATCAGAGGCTCAGGCACAATTCTCGAAGAGGGCAGTCGCATTACTGAAGTGTCATCATGTTAGAGGCCCAAGGGGAGTTGAGAATCAGAGTTCACTGCTGCTGTCAGCAACTCTTCGTCTATTATTGTTAGCATAGGTAGCTAGATGTTAATAAAGAAAGGAAGCAAAAGGAATCCCCCATCAAGACTGGTCATTAGCCGGGATTTCTGAGGGAGAGAGAAAATAAGAAAGGGGAAAGTCCTCTGCTGAGTGCATGTGCAGTAGAAGCCAGGGTGGCAGCCATAAAGGGGAGGTGTCTAGCCTGGGAAAAGGGTCAGATTAGATAAGATCCAGGAAAGGGATTGGTTAGAGGGAGGGCTGAGCACAAACCTACAAAGGACTGGAAAATTGATTGGTTATTTTGAAAAAGTGCCTGATCTTTCTCAAGCCCAGATCGTGTAATCCAAGTTTAACAAAGCTCTGGCGCTCTTTTGCCTGGTAACACTCACATTTGTGCATGAGCATCCTCATTCTTGCTCCTTAGCAGCCATGTGGGACTAGCAGGCGCCTGTGACCCCCCCAGGAGCTGGGCTCCAAGCGCAGGCCTGGGCACTGTTGAGGTGCAGCCAAGAACAAACTAAGCTGGCCAGATGGGTACAGAATTTTTGGACACTGGCCTTATTTCTGGGCCTGATGAGGACAAGGCTGGGCTTTGGCCCCAGAGGGACAAGAGCTGAACCCAGGGCGGTCCTTTGCATTTTGCTCCAGTTTCAGTAGTCCTTACCACTGCACTACATCATCCCATGAGTGGGTCACCTGAAATGCTCTCCTCACAATTCTGTGAAAGGACCCCATTTCTACCGGCAACATTATTATGTCTGGGGTGCCATCATGACCCCAGAGTGGGGAAAGTGAATAGAAGGGTGGATAGTCATTCATGGGTCTTTGTTCACACTTTCTTCTTCTTACGCCTCCTCCAGCTCCTAGCCAAGTCTGTGTGGTGTCTCCCAGCTTCTGGAGACCAGGGATTGGGGGTGGAACTCTGTGCAGTCTGTGAGATGAACAATTTGGAGCAGAAAGCAGACTTTTTCATTAGTGGACATAGTAAAATCTCTTCTATGTATTGAGCTTGAAATCATGATGAAATGTAGCACCCAAGGCATTTTCATTTACTTTAGAAACAGTTCCCACATTGAACAATGTCAGGGTAGCACTTTCTAGAAAGTGCTGAGTATAATACTAGCAGAAAGAACTTGACAAATGCTACGTCTCAACAAGAATTTCTTAACTATTCCAGACTGCCAGCTACACTTTTTTTTTTCTGTAATGTTCTATCTTCTGCATTTGATGTGACTACTCTGCACTGCTATAGTCAAAATTGTTGGTGGTTATCATGTTTATTTGCCTAAGGCTCTGCACAGCTCCATTACAGCTGTTAATGCAGGAAATTTAAATGCAGATCGGAGCTGAACATGGAGGAACGCTGTTGAAGCAGATCTATGATGTGCTACAGCTGTATGTGCCTGATGGCACAGTGCACTGTACTACCTCAGAGCAGCCATGCCAATCTATGTATGCATAAAAAGCATTTGCAAGTTTTCACTTTAGTAGATCACTTGTAAATTTGGTTGTCCATTAGTTGTTTTGTGTGTGTGTGTGTGTGTGTGTGTGTGTTTTGTTGGGTTTTTTTTTTTTTTTTGCAAATTGCTGATCAATTCAAACACATCACTAAACTCTTCAATAATACATTGTCACTCCACATTTTATAAGTGTATTTTAACTGTTCAAACAATATTGACTGATTATCTGAAAGAATTAAGAACTAAAAGCAATCGTGTTAGTGCAAGTAAAGAATTGCATTTTAATGAGATTTGTAATCATGATTAAATGTTACTTACATTGAGTATATTTTTAACATCATGATCTAGTTATTAC